ATTGTTAGGCAGGGTAAGGCTAGGGGCCTGAAGCGACACTCACTCCACTCACTCAGGCAGGCACCCACCCGGACACGGTTCCGCCTGCGCTAAAGAAATTGTTTTCTGTTCTCCGCTTGATTCTCTTGCCTTCTCGAGAGAAAAAGCTAGCTGACACCTTAAAGTAACTTATATATTCTTTACGTTTAGTCAAAAGGTTTTTAAGGTATCATCTGCTAAAAAATCCAAAACCGATTTCTTTCAAAAGAGCTTTGGAGAACTTGGGCGCCAAGATGGCCGCCCACAAATGAGCGCTACCGCTGCTACTACCGCATCGGAATACGACATATAGCCCTTCTCCCCCTAGAGTACGAGTGTGTCCGAATTCAGCCACCGACCGAGCACCGACCGGCCGGTCGCCGAGCGGCCGCTCCAAGCAGCTATGCCAACCGCGAACCAAGAAGTCCTTTCGCTTGGGGTGGTTGCGGATCGCGACTACCCCCGCGGAGGACCTGCAGAGGACCCGCGACGATCCCCCGCGTAAGACCCGCGTCCTTCGACCACCCCCCGCGAAAGGATTTCGCGGTTCGCAGTTAACCCAATGTGAACAGGGTGGCATAGCTGCTTGGAGCGAGTGGCTCGCCACGGACAGGCCACCGACCGCTCGACGACCGACCGGTCGGTGCTCGGTCATTGGTTGAATTCGGACACACCCTACGTAACTGCCTGCCCCTGGGATTATACCGCTCAACCCCCACCCTCTCCACAGCCGCCGCCGCCGAGCCGCCGCCTGCCGTTGCTGCTGGGACTCGCGGGGTGCAGCCGCAGGCTGGAGAGGACCGCGGCCAGCAGGACGCTGCCGGGGAGGCTCCCCACCGCTGTGCGACCTGCGGGGCGGCCTTCAGGAGGGCGGCGCTCCTCCGGGCCCACATGCGGACCCATGCCGCCGATAAACTGGACGGCGGCGAACACTGCGGCGACGGTTCAGCGGGAAGTGCTGACCTCCGTACACACGCGAAAACGCACACAGGTGATAGACATTGGCGCTGCCAGACTTGCGGCAAAAGATTCTCTCAAAGCGCCGCACTCAGTGTTCACATGAGGACTCACACCGGTGAGAAACCTTACAAATGCCAGACTTGTGGCAAAAGTTTCTCTCAAACTGGTCACCTTTGTGAACACATAAGGACGCACACTGGTGAGATACCTTTCAAATGCCAGACTTGCGGCAAAGGATTCGCTTATAGCAACGGACTCCGCAATCACATCAGGTCACACACCGGTGAGAAGCCCTACAAATGCCAGACTTGTGGCAAAAGTTTCTCTCAAACTAGCCACCTCCGTTACCACTTGAGGACACACACCGGTGAGAAACCCTACAAGTGCCAGACTTGTGGCAAAAGTTTCGTTCAGAGCACCACACTCAGTGTTCACATGAGGACTCAC